TAAAATTATTTTCGTTGCTACTTCATAACTGGAATTTTGCAATTTTCCGATGGTCTTAGGTGACCCCTGTGAAAGGATCATTCGACCCACAAAGGGGTCACGACCCACAGGTTGAGAACCGCTGGTCTGGAGGCTAAACCTAGATAGCTAGCTAGAACTAGATATGTCTAGTCTAATGAAGACAAGGAATAGGAGTGACACATAGCAGTCTTCCAGTATTTGATGGGCTATCACAGAGAAGAGGGTTTATGTAAGTATAATCTTTATTGTCATTGTACTTAAATACAACAAAATTGGTTTATCCTATTCTCCAAAGCACCCGAGGGCAGGAAAAGAACTAACAGATGGAAGATCATTAGAGATCCAATCTAGAATAAGGAGAAATTTCCAGACAGTAAAAAAAAAAAAAATAGTAATAATCCGTTGAACAACTTGACTCCAGAAATTGGAGGTTTTCAAGAAGAAACTGGACAGCCATTTGTCTGAAATGGTATAAGTTCTCCTGCTTGAGCAGGGAGTTGGACTAGAAGACCTTTACGATATCTTCCAACTCTTATTATTGTTGAATCTTCAATGTACTATTCAAGACCTGAATCACTATCAGAGATGAACCCTGAACGCCGGGAACACAACCGACTAGGCCAATGATGGCCAACCTTTTTGGAACCGAGTGCCCAAACGGGAATGTGTGCGTATGAGCATGCGCCAAAACACCAGAACCCAAAGACTAGCTGCCTTGCATGCACATGCCTGGTTTTTGCCCGTTTGTGCCAGTTTTGGGGGGCATTTTCAAGCCGTTTTCTGGGCTGTTTTGATGTTGGGTTTGGGGGGCATTTTCAGCCTGAAAAACAGCCTGAAATGGCCTGGAAAATGGCCCAGAAAAGGCCTGGAAAATGACCCGCGAAAACCAACTGGTGTGCACGCTGGAAACCAGAAGAGCAGCTGGCGATGGCACGTCTGCCCACAGAGAGGACTCTGTGTGCCACCTCTAGCAATTGTGCCATAGATTCGCCATCATGGGACTAGGCCTGTGGGGCTGCAATGAGAAGACTTTGAAAACTAATAGGTTACTCAAGAATCAGTTTGACAATTCAACTATGTTTACAATGTTTTGATTTAAACTGTTATTTAGGCATAAACTAAGTTCCCGCACCCATGTCTGTTCAACACTCCATTCCAAATGTCAATGGAAAGTCTCAGCCATGCAGGTCAAGGTTGCCCCAACTGGACTTTCTGGTTTTTTCTGAAGAAGCTTCTTCGATGAGAAGCGAAATGCCTTCAAAGAAAAATCAGAAAGTCTTGAAAAAACACCTTTGGGACTCCATTCCAAATGGTGGCAACCAAAACTGGATGTATTTTCCCTTCCAATGAAGGATGATCCTAAAGCTTTGCCCTAGTTTTGCCACCTACGGAAGTTTTTGGATCCCTTCCCCCCATAAATCAATGGACTAGCAGCCTCTTTTTGTCTCCTTTGGTTTTTATTTAATTGGGTCCTTTTTAAATATTGGTAGGATTTGTGTGGAGGAAGAGGTCCCATTTCAGATCATGTTTATGGAAGCATATAGAAAACTGAAAGAGAGTTCAACCTTTTAGCACCCACAATAGGGAGCGGAAATTGCTAAGGCTACCACAACTGCGATTGCTACATCCTCAGCCTTGTTTGAAATCTGGGAAGCTTAGAAAACAAGAGTGTCACTGCTTTGCATTTTGTTTTAATAGCTAAGACTGTTTAAATAGTGAAGATAGGAAGGAGTCAGGAGGTCAGCGCTGTGTTTGCAGATGTGGCGCAGCCGAGTGCATCAAGCAGCAGGTTGCTTGGCCTCTCGCACAAACACCACAACCACAGCATCGTCTTCAGCCAGCTCTAGGACCTCCTATCCCAGAAAGGCCGTCCCCCTCCTCCTCCTCTTCCTTCTCTTCCTCCTCCAGGAGCTTCCAAGCACAGCGGAGGCTCGAGAAAGTCTTGGCCCTTACGACTGCATTCTCAGTTCACACTTCCAAGTAAACACAACTATCGTGTGAGTTCATCAATCACAGGGCTCCACATGATAACATTCCCCCCATAACTTCTATTTGTACAAGTGAAGTCCAGGAAAAGGGGATGGAAGAAAATCAAAAGGAAAGAGCTGTGATTTTTATCAGCCTGGGGTCAGGTCAGCTCCTTAAGTGGAAGAAAACACACAATTTCATCCCCGAAGAAAGATACGCAGCCTGGACTGATCACCTCTGGTTTGAGACGCATGTTCCGCAGAGGCTTCTTTTCACTGGATGCGGGAGTCCTTGACTTATGACCACAACTGGGATCAGAATTTATGTTGCTAAGCAAGGCAATTGTTAAATGAGTCACGGCCCATTTTATCAAGCTTTTACTGCAAATTACTGCAGTTTAAACAATCATGTGGTCGTTAAGTGGGTCTTGCTTTCTGCCATTGTTAGGGCGAATGGCCACTACATAAATGGTTCTAAGTCAAGGCCTATACCTGCTGTGGTGCAACAAATTCACTGCCTAAGGAGTTTGGTCTATTCCAACCGTTCAGGACTTCCAACTCCCAGCAACTACACATATTTGTAAAGTTTTGTGGAATTCTCAAATAATAAGCCATCAGAAATTCCCTTATGCTACTCCACCATACTAAATTTGATTTAAAACATTTCATACCGTACTTCAATATTTAATATTTCATACTCATACAAGACACTGGTATACGATTTACCATTTTAGCTTTGCATGTCCACCAAACCAGCTACACCAAACTAATCAATTCTTTTATCTATTTATTTTTTAGAATAGAATTCTGTATTGGCCAAGTGTGACTGGACACACAAGGAATTTGTGCATAAGCTCTCACTGTGCAAACAAACAACAGTGAAGTGGTCATAATCCTATCTATCTGTATCTATCTATCTGTATCTACCTACCTACCTAGCTAGCTACATCTCTATCATCTATGTCTGTCTATCTATCTCTCCTGCCTTTACCTATTGTAAAAAAATAAAGGTAAAAGACTGCAGATTTTATCATGGTGCTCATCTCCATTTCAAGGTCATTGAGTCAGTGCTATCCGAAGACATTTCCACAGTCATGTGGCCAGCATGAGGTCATGGAGCCCTGTTACCTTCCCAGTGAAGTGGTACCTATTTATCTACTTGCATTTGCATGCTTTCAAACAGCTAGGCTGGCAGTAGCTGGAGTGAGGACGGGAGCTCATGCCGTTCACGTGGATTTCAGGTCTAAAACCTGGACTGTCCGCTTTCCATCTTAATCGTGCCGCCTCTTCATTTATTGTAACTTACTATAAAGTAGGAATCACGTAACTATCATACTTCCATTGCACATTTAGTCTACATCAGGTGTGTCCAATCTTGGCAACTTTAAGGGCCTGTGGACTTCAACTAGCAAAAGTTGAATTCTGGTTGGAAAATTCTCGGAGTTGAAGTCCACAGGCCTTAAAGTCACCAAGATTAGATTACCCCTGGTCTATATCATTCACGCCAGCAAATGCAGTCTCTGTAAATTCTGTAAACAAAGTATATTGCCTTTATCTATATCCACAACAATTAAATAAATGAATTCTGCTTCAGGCTCCTTATAACATCTACAACAATTATTTTAGAAAGCAACACTTAAGAAATATATATTATCTTTAAAAAAGGTATAACCGCAAAAATCTTTTGAAATGTTTTTAGTACTACAGTTGTTTTGAGGAAGTATGATGAAATAGTGGAGAACATTCCAGCTCTCAGTATTTATAAACTTGATGATGAAACAAGTATTTTCATGCTCTGCGTAGTAAC